ATGTATAAATATTATATATCTATGTGTATATATATATATGTATATATAAGTGACATAATTTATGGGACACGAAAACATATAGTCTTAAATCATTAAAGACATTAACCAATCACAATCGAGAAGAATAATCGATTATGATTGATCAATTTCTTATATTATAGCTTCAGACGTAAAGTTTAGTTATAAGTCTGTTATGGAATTAATCGAAATGGATTCCGAAATTATTAGGTACGCAATGAAATATAGGATGGGAATTTTTGAAACATGACGAACCAATCAACGTGCGACTTTCCCATGTCATGACTCTTATCACCGACACATGAGATAGTAATTAAAAGATGGTCGGCTCTTATGGAAGTTTGCGTGATTGTCAAAATTTAAGTGATTAAATAAAAATAAGAAACTAATAATATAAATACTAATTACATGATTTATTAGTTTCGTAAACATGCATATATATTCAAAACTTATAATAATACTCGTTTTTTTATTTAAATTTTAATGTTATCATCCGAGTTTGATTATCAAAAATATAAAAAAAAAATGAATGGAAGATGTCGCCACGTACTATCGAATTTGGAAGTTTTGTCGATAATACAGATCCGGCTACAGTATCCCCTTAAAGATGTCGCCACGTTGTCACGCAGCAAATAATGGTTCCTTCCTATCCGACCCATTCCTTCCCAGTTCCCAATTTCCTTCACAGCACTTTTTTTTAGCTATTTCTAGCCCTACTTCTGCTAAGCATACCGTAGTCCCACCTAACCCTTGTTTGCCCTTATTTCATAGTAATTGATTGTAATTCACTCGTAATGCTGTAATCAATTGCGTAATATACAATGTGGTTATATAGCACTCGATGCTTTTGGCCGCATTCAAATTGTGTCATCAGTGTTGAATAGTGTTATTGATTGCTAGAGATTTGTTCAGGACGCGCTATAAAAAAAATGGCACCTACCATTCAAACCAACAGTAATCAAACTGACCGGGATAAACGCGTGGCCAGGCCAGCAGAGAAGCGGTAAATAAGCAAATAAGCACACCAGCGTATACGATATATATATGTGTATATATATATATATGTGTATGTGTCGCGAATCATTGAATCATTACTATCATAAGCAGTACAACTGTAATGTTGCTGTATATTATTGACCTGCTTTTTCAGATCTGAGCTCATATGCAGAGTAAAATATTGTAACACGCTGCCGGATATACCGTTTGACCCAAAATTTATAGCTTATCCCTTTGAACCGACCAGGTGAATAACGTTCAATCTGTCAAACTGTCGCTTATGTCCTTTTGTCTTGTAATAATTTGTCATATTTGTAATACAGGTTTATTCAATATAATCCAACCTCATTAGAGCGTAATTACAAATATGAAGTATTGACAGAACATGATTTAGGTGTAGAAATTGATTTAATAAATAAGGATACGTATGCGGGGGATCCAAATGCTCAATTAGATCCAGCTGACGAAAAGCTGTTGGAAGAAGATGTGCTCACACCTCAAGATTCTAAACGTTCTCGGCATCATGCCAGGAGTGTTTCGTGGTTAAGACGCACAGAATATATTTCCACGGAAAGCACGAGATTCCAGCCACAAACAGCAGACAAGGTCGAAGCCAAAGTTGGTTACAGTATCAAAAAGAATTTCAAGGTATGATGTATATTGAGCAAAATTTGTAGCGTATTTGTGTATTTTCTAATTCAATTATTATTAATCAGGAGGAAACGCTGTATATGGACCGTGAGAGTCAAATAAAAGCTATAGAAAAGACATTTGAAGACAATATAAAGCCAATTGAAAGACACTACAGTAAACCGAATGTAGTACCTATAGAAATATTGCCAGTATATCCAGACTTTAAGGTACCATTGCAACGTCTGTCAACAATATTGTCATTACATATGTACAATTATAATTTTTACAATTTTTTAGTTGTGGAAATATCCATGTGCGCAAGTTATATTTGATTCTGATCCTGCACCAACTGGTCGATCTGTACCAGCACAGATAGAAGAAATGTCACAAGCCATGATAAGGTATAGCTTTGCTCATTCTCTCTCTCTTACACACACGCGCGCGTGCGCGCATGCACGCGCACGCACGCACACACACACGCACGCACGCACGCACACACAGAGTAATTTTATGCAATTCAAAAGGAAATGTGTATTGAAAAATGTTATTATTTGCCAAACTCAATTAATTTAGATATTATTAGATTATTGTACAAGATAATCATGATTCTTCTTATAGGGGTGTGATGGACGAGAGTGGTGAGCAATTTGTAGCTTACTTTTTGCCGTTGGAAGAAACTTTGGAGAAACGCCGACGAGACTTTACTGCTGGTATCGATTACGCTGATGAGGAAGAATACGAGTACAAAATGGCTAGAGAATACAATTGGAACGTCAAGAGCAAAGCTTCGAAAGGATACGAGGAGAATTATTTCCTCGTGATAAGACAAGACGGGGTATATATATGAGCGCTGCACTATTATATATGCATAATTTCATATGAGATGTGTTATAATTTTGCGATTTGTCACGTTAATCCATTGGTGTATCGCAGGTTTACTACAATGAATTGGAGACACGTGTGCGACTAAGTAAACGGCGCCAGAAGGTCGGACAGCAGCCAAACAACACGCGTCTGATAGTGCGTCACCGACCGCTAAATGTCAATGAATTCAGAATGCAAAGATATCGAGAAAAACAATTGGAACCACCAGGAGAGGAGGATGAAGACGAGGAGGAGGAAGAAGAGGAGGAAGAGGAGGAGGAAGAGGAGACTCAACAAGAGAAGGCAGATATGGTAGCTAAAGGTTCGTTCACACTATTCACTATGATACAATTGGATAGGACAGACTATCACTCTGAATCTATTTTTCCGGTAATCAGAAAATTTGTTTGCAGGTTCCGAAGCAGAGAACGAGGAAGGATCGACGCGTGCGTCATCAAGAGCGTCCTCGCAGGCGTCCAGTAGAAAGTCGCGATCTCGTTCCAAGTCTGGCTCAAGATCGAAATCGAAATCGAGATCAAGATCTAGATCTAGATCTAGATCTAAGTCGAGATCGAGGTCGAGATCGCGATCGCGTTCACGTTCGTTGTCGCGGTCACATTCGCCATCGAAATCTAGATCGCCGTCTCGCTCGCGCTCGCGTTCTCATTCACGTTCGCCATCTAAATCACGCAGTAAATCACGATCACAATCACGATCGCGATCACGATCACGATCACGATCCGGCAGTCCTCAATCGAGAAACACATCAAAGTCGAGATCTAGATCCAAGTCGAGATCGCGTTCAAGATCGCCTGCGAAATCACCATCGGGATCTTTGTCAACCTCATTGTCTGTGTCACCGTCAAGATCGAGATCCGGTACTGGTAGCGGTTCCGCTAGCGCGACCGGCGAAAGCGGCTCCGAAAGCGAATGAAGAGATCGCTAGATGCGCGATGAACAATACTAATGTAATTAATTCATTTCCACTTGAATCATTATTTCAAGGAATGTTCGTTTATACCATCGACATTTTTAAATATAACAATCCTGCCTGAATATCAGAATAATTGCTTACTGAAAGAATAAAAAGGAATTCTTTAATAATTATTATAAGTAATCGTTACAGGGTGTTCAGTGGTACGATCAAAGAAATAAATTACACATAGCCATATATACATATATACATATATACATATATATTTTATGCACTGAGGTAGTTGCTACGATAATCCGTAGATATAAAAAAAGAAATCCATCATTGTGTTTCGGAACAGATATAATTTTATGATATTTAATTTTGCGATATACTTTGGTCGAGAAACGAAATAAGAAAAAATAAGACTTAAATTATTCGAAGAGTTTTCCAATGCGATATCGACGACAAATCTGTTTTTATAATTTTTATTTGCATTTCTTCGTGTCGATATGCGTTCATTTTGATTTGAATGTAAACCAACTATATGAAGCGATTAAAAAAAGACATACTTGATAGAGCTATCTGTTATTTGATTAATATCCTGTGTAAGTTTTTTGATATCGTGAGAAGAAATCGCTCATATATTTGGATAAATTGAAGAAACGGGCGCAACGTAAATTGACGTAAATTTTCTCAAGAGTGCGAGACCAGAGAGAAACCTGAAAGTGATGAGGACATGGGGTGAGCGGCTTTTACTAATCGCAAAATATGCTTAAAATCACAGAGAGAAGCCTGAGAGCGGTCATTAGCCCGGGATTTAGCTGTTACTTTATTTCGAAGCACCTCTATATCCACAAAATGTGGACATTGAACTACATAGCCATAGCCACCGACGAGATATTATTAAAGACCGACGTCCCTCCCTCCGGGAGTAAGTTGACGTTCTTGTAAATATTGAATTAAGAATGAAAAACTGAAAATATTGTATTAATTTTATGATTTATTAGTTTAGTACATATTTATGCATTTAGAACTCGATATATAATAATACGATATAAAATAATACTCGATTTCTCTTTAAAATTGTGATTTCAGTGCTATCGTTGATTATCAAAGTTGATTATCAACAGAAATGATAACTGCAGAGAAAAAAATTGTAATTTTTCTGCAATATATAGGATATTATAGCTTTACAAGTATGCATATTTGTTTATGGAACATTTATGTAATAAAAAATTATGAATTTAATAATGTATAAGCCAAATATTTATGTTAATAATAGCAAATTTATATGAATTGTCAGTAATGTCAGCGTTGTTCGATTACTTCCGGGCTCTTGAGGCCCTTTTTATACCACCGAAAATTTGCCCAGGGTTGACAGTTTTTAATAGTATCTCGTCGGTGCCACAACGAAGAAAACAACCCAAAAATTGTGGATATTACCGACCGGATCATGGACATTGGCTACGTAGTTCAATGTCCATATTTTGTGGACAAAGTGGCGCTTGAAAATAAAAATAAAGTAACAGCTAAATCCCGGCTGGGCATGGCCGCTCTCAAGTTACTGTAACTAATAGTAACTAACTAAGCAACTAAGAAAAGTAACTAGCTAAGCAACTTGGAAAAGTAACTAACTGAGCAACTAGGATACCGTGTACTACGTACCGCCTATTTCTTTCGCTGATATTACATGGAGCGCGGTTTGCGGTACGGACTAGTGACAAACTTACATTAGTATGAATTTTTGTAAATATATTAACTTATTTTTACGCACACTTTATCAATACTCTTATTTTTTTTAATAGATTTACTTAATATTTGCATTTAAAATTTTGCAATTAATTCCAAAAGTGCATAGCAGTGTATAGTAATGTGAGTTTATCACTAGTCCTAGTTTCCTAGTTAGTTATCACTAGTTATTGTACCGCATACCGCGTATCCCATGTAATCGCACCCTCAGTGAATGTCTGTCGCGGTGGTACCGGAGGCATGATGCTACCGCTTAGTGCCGTTGCTGACTAACTCTGAACTCTGACTCAGCTGACTGGTGAGTCAGGTAAGTGGTGGCACTGGCTACTAGCTGGTGCCGTACAGTGGCTGTGGTTAACTGGTTACTAGTGGTTACGTTACGTTCGATCACGTTGGGTCACTTTGGATCATGTTGGATGAAGCTTAAGCGAGGTAGTTTAACGAGGATTTAACGAAAAGTACGAGCGTCGAGTAGGTAAAAGAGAGTCACGTGGATAATGAATCTCACGTGCCTGCGTATATACGCGATAATGTGTCGGGTGTCTCGTGCGTTGTTAATTGAACATTTGGTTGGTGTGATTACGCACTCTGTAGTCGCTAGTCCGTCTCTCTTCGTACCAGAATTAATTTCTCTCTCTTTCTCTCTCTTCTAAGCATACATGTACATGTTTAGTCAAATATATATGTGTTCAAGCGTGCCGGAAAGGCGCAATTTAAATGGATCGATACAAGTGGATAAGTTGGCGTACCACGCGTTCCGAGAGAATGCAAACAGAAAGCAGCGATAGATATTGTTTCATTTCAAATGTTGTATTCGAGACGAAGGAGAGGGAACGCCGTTCACATAGTACTTGGTATCGTATCCAAATTATCGTTTGAATATGAGCAACTTGTCACATATACTGAAAACATTGACCCTGAGAGAGAGAGAGAGAGAGAGAGAGAGAGAGAGAGAGAGAGAGAGAGAGCGCTAATTACTGTCTCTTTTTTGCTCTTTCCTCTCTCTTCTGCACAATCTTACTCTGATGATACTGCAATTGACTGCAATGATCCACGCATTCGTTTCACTGCGCGAGATAAACAAGTCGATGGACAGTTTTATGTCCGTATTATCGCGTCGCGCACAATTTCATCAATCATCGCGCATTCCGCGAGTGGAACGGAAGAGAAAACTGCGACGAGAGAGAGAGAGAGAGAGAGAGACGTATCCGTTTGGATCTCTCGATGATGTTTGTATCACGGGAACCGAAACCGACGAGGACGTAATCCCGACCGGGCCGGTGAGTAGAAGTAGATCCGCACGATGCGGATGACCAATGGACGAGAAGGAAGAATCGCATGGATACCATTCGCGGGGAAAAAATAAACTTGTCGGAAAAATGATAGAGCGAGACGGCTGTTTTCCGACGCGGTCGGATATATAATACGTCGACATATATATATATATATGTTTCGATGTTTTTCATTTATACATACATATATATGTGACGGAGTGTATTGCGCACCAACCAGCACGAACGATCGCCGCCGCGGTCGATGATGTCAGATTTATATAAGAGTTTAATGTTATCAATTCGCGGAAACGAGCCGAGCGGGCACGATTGTAAGGCTGACAATGCGAATGAAATCATTGCGAGATCTTCCAATATATATTTGTAAAAAATCCTCTCATCCGCAGATTCGTTAAGTTAAGTGAAACGAGATCGATATTCTCGAGAATGCCATCTTTTTCTATTTATGGCATTACTATTCGGCGATACTTCATGAAATTGGAAAGCATCATTGCAACGCGAAAGATTGAATTGAAATAGGATTGATTTCTCAAAATTGTACTTGCCATATACTCGTATAATATATAAATATTTCAAGGATTTCATTGCACGACACTTTTACATGCAATGCAAAATGTATAAATTGTTATGTTATGAGTTTTACAATTGTTAATACATCTGCAGACAGAAGTTTATTTTGATAAATGAAAAATATACATATACAAGCGAGACGGAAGCTTTGGTGCAGTTTAATGCAAAAACGCAGGCGAATCGATGATTCATAAATAGTTTACATAGATGACACGCAAGACATGTATTATAATCTAGACATTTGTACGCGTTTTGAGATTGTTACGCAGAATTCTGATTAATTGAAAGAAATTCTGTGGCCGCGCAGCTGACGATGAAAAATCGAAAATGACAGGTTCTCTTCTTAATTTAAGCCGCAGTCGCGATTTTCGAGAATTTCGAGTCGAGGCTGTCCTGGCTGTCATCTCGACTGACGCACGCGGAGGTTTCTTTTCATAAAACAACGATTTCGAGGCATGGCCTTATTGAGTAAATACCGTAAATACGGAGCACATTGGCTTTACGCGATAGTTAACGTAAAATTAACGTAATGAGTCTGTGCCGGACGTTAAAGCACAAATCGATATCAATATTTGTCAAGCAGCTACTTCTCTAAGGAACAAATCGCGATCGTTAGCGTGACGCGGTTGAAAACAATTGCGATTTGCCACTGTATGTAGATATGTAGATGTTTAAGCTGTACGAAAAAAAAGATATAGTTGAAGTTTGAAGTGTTCTTGGAGCGAACAATCGTCAAGTTCTAAAATAAAGATGCAGTATATTGTTAAACAGCTTAAAAGCTGCTGTTATGTACATTTAAATTTGAGATACGTTTCACGTTTAATTGTAAGAAACGAGAGAGAGAGAGAGAGAGAGAGAGAGAGAGAGAGAGAGAGAGAGAATGTTAGGTATCTTTACTGTCCTTCTCATCTCAATTTGTAACTAACCGAGACTTGTCTTTGCATGTTAATTTAGATGCCGAAAAATAAAGAAAACAGCAAGCGAAAAAAGCAAATGGAGGACGAGGGCGACGAGGATTATCGAAAGCGGCGAGATCGGAATAACCAGGTAATCTATCAGTTTTGCATGTAAATTGTTCACGTTATTTGCATGTGTATACTATATATATCATCGTTGTTCTCGCGTTGTTCACAGGCTGTGAAACGATCGAGAGTGAAGAGTAAATTACGTACACAACAAACCTTGGAACGAGTAAATCAATTAAAAACGGAAAACGAATTGTTGGAGGAGAAAATTAAAATGCTCACCAAGGAGCTTGGGTTTCTCAAGGATCTTTTTATTGCACACGCAGGTAGGTATATCGTCATTAGGATATACAAAATTATTGTCAAATTATTGTCAAATTATAAATCTTTTGATATACCTATACAAACAGTTTGTAGATTAAGTATATATTATTATATAGAGAATTTCTACGAGAATTACTACATCTTGTACTTTATCTCTGATATATACGAGTATATTCATTATAACAACACACGATTCTAGTTGATTATTTGTTTAAAAATAAGTATATTAGTTAAGTATACACATACACGCACAACAGATTTTATTGTTTTACTTTTAGGAGGAGGTTCTGGTCAACACTCGATGAACATTCAAGATCTAGATCTGAATTCTCTCCTGGCGGAAGAAAAATCGACGGAAGAGTCATCGGTTGTAAAGACGTCAGTTATCAGGTCGACCTCCAAGCTGTAAACCTATATAAGCTCCACGTGAAGAAATCAGCGTGGTATTAAATTTGAAAAACGCGAGACAGTATTTTGTCTTTGACTCGCTCGATCAAAACAGAGACAGTGGACATCTTGGAAAGATGTTGACTTGAAATTCATTGAAAAAGATTCTAGATGCGAAGAGCGTTTTCCGAAGGCGGGTTTTCCAAGTTGCAGTGCATCGTCAGTAAATTATCGTCAGTTAAATTTACAACTTGTCGAAAACTGATGGAGGCAAGAGTGATGCAACTATCGCATACAACTCACGATAAATTTGAGTACGAAAGTATTCATTTTAATTGTTAGCCAGTGGTGAAAAAGTAATGTGTGTGTGTGTGTGTGTGTGTGTGTGTGTGTGTGTGTGTGTGTGTGTGTGTGTGTGTGTAAACGGTACACGATACCACCCAAAAATACCACCAAATATGTATATGCTGCAGATATTAGAGCATTATACATATGTCACACGCGACCGTATCTTGTACTAACGTACTGTATTCGCGCGAGATGTGCTTTTACTGTGAGTTATTATTTACATATACATATGGAAATAACAAAAGGGGAATTTTCTTTTGAGCATTTAAATCAAATAATGAATTGGTGACATCATTAAAATAGTTATTTTATTGATTGTAACATACAAATACATATGTATATTATATGAATATAATTTTTCGAAAATGTTTTTACTTTCGTAGAGGAGCGTTTTCGATATGTATCCAACTATTATTAAATTTGATTGCTTCAGCGACAACGTTGGTAGTTTTTCCTAATATAAACAGCGCATTTAAATTGATTGCGTATTGAAAATACTTATTTCAAGTGTTCTTTTCTTCCGATTATCAATACTTATTAGGGCTAATTAAAATTTGCTAGTAATTAGACTCTTCCAATACGTTACTAATAATACGTTTTATACGTTACATTCGAACAATGTAAATGAAACAACAAGAAAGTTATCGTTGTGTGGTTTGAAATTTGCTTTGAATACCATTAGAAACGCACAAATTTTTATTTTACAATATATACCGAAAGGCATATTTTTACGTGAAAAAAACAAGGTACGCAATTAAATTGCCAGTGATTGGCAAACACTCGGAGAATCGTCGACGGCCTCACCTGTACGCTTCTGTGTGTTCGTAAAATGTGCACATCATACTAACCGAATAAACATAACGTCTTGTATTCTGGACTAGCCGCATTTTCCTCTCGATAAAAATCTGGCCTCCTACATTTTTAGCATCCGGGAATATTAATCATGTTTCTCAGAATTTTCGTGGTCGTGAAGCAAGTGAAAGATAATTACTTACGTTAGTATAAAAAAGATGGAGTTACAGGACAACGCGTTACAGGATTCCAAATTGAGGTTTATTTACTCTTGGATATACGTGATGCTATTTAAAAAGTCAAGTAGAGTGAAAGAACAAAGTGCTTTTGATTATTAAATTTAGCGCTAAAAAAGGGAACGTGGTAAAAAAGAAAAAAATGACTCGAAACATCACTCGATGATAGTCCGGCATCGGAGTAAAGGGAAGACTCAGGGCACCTTGAATTTCGCGCACATACCTGAGTCGTCTGTATCACAGCACTGAGTGGGCCGTCGCGCGCTGCCCGCTGGTGCCGGTCAGGCCGGTCTAGCAGACGACATGTTGGCTGTCAGGACTGCCAGGAGCACCGGAGCATCGGAGCATCGGAGCACCTCGCCGAGTCGCCAGCGCCAGCGTCAGCGCCTCAAAGTCGAACGTTCGGCACTTTCGGCCGCGCGACTCGCGAGTTGATTTCTTCAAAAATACTTGGGAATACTTGAGTGAGGAGAGACATATGTAAGGACAGCGCGAGAGAAGGTACGCGAGGGTGCGGATTTTATTCCCCGAGTGTTGCCATGATCGTCGACGAGGAGGAGTTTACGGCATAGGAAGGGTGGAATAAAAGAGCGGAAGAAGCGGGAAAAGAACACGAAAAAAAAAAAGAAAAAGACGAGGGGCTCTGAGTTTTATGAAAAAGAAAAATGTCCTGTCGAGGACAAGATCTATAGGAGAGTGAGGAGGAGGAGAAGAGGGACTCGCGCGTAACTTATAGGTCATATCGACGAAAAGCGCAAAGAGGAAGTCACGAACGCGGGAAGGGAGGGGGGAGGGAGGCGGAGCAAAATTTTCCCTTTTTCGGCCAATTAGTGCTGTTGCACCGATCAGTCTCTCTGAAGTCTATCTATTTTAACTGTTGAACGTCTCGCCATCGTCATATCGGGGGAATAAAGAGGAAATCTGATTCGCGTCGAGGAAGCGAGGTCATACATTTTACGTGCAACACGCGCCGTGTGTCCCTCAACTAACAAATCGGATTTGCGTGTACATACATATCTGTCTTTCTCTCTCTCCCTCCCTCCCTCTTTCGCTCTCCTCCTATCGTCCCTGTCTCTTGTGCCGGCCGTATCGCCGGAGACATCGCGGCGAGGGAGAGGAGGAGAGAGAGATAGAGAGAGATCTCGCCTCGCGCGACTAACGACACTAACCAATAAAGACTATAAAGACAGAGGGAAGGAGGGAAGGAGAGAGTGTGAGAGAGAGAGAGAGAGAGAGTCGTGTTCCGCGTGGTTTTCCTATACGTGTGCGGGCGTGCGTGCGTGTCACGGGAGCAGCCTCAAGTGGCCTGAAGTAGTCTCCATGTGAACGGAACACAGATTCGCGCCGTGTCTCGATCTCTCGACCTCTCGACCGCGGAGGTAACTTTGGACGTCTCCGTCGTCATTGCACTCCTGACTCGACCAATCGTCGCCATCGTCGCCGAGTAGCGAGTGTCACGCGCGTTTGCTACTGTATATGTGTTCTGAACTGGACAGTAACGCCCGGAGGTGACTGCCGGCGGTGAGGCCACCATTGCCGTCGATAGTCGACGTCGACATCGACATCGACATCGACATCGTCCGTCGTCGCCGCAGTTGGCCGCAGTTGGCCGCAGTCGCCAGTCGGCTGAGTCGGCTGCTCGGTGTTCGGCAGTCGTCGACACCCCGCCGAACGAGACGTTCGTTTGTCCCTCCCTTCCTCCGTTTTCTTTCTCTCTCTCTCTCTCTCTCCTCTCTCCTCCCCGCCGCCACGCCGCTTCGATGTGAGCGGTGAACAAGCGAGAGAGGTGGTCGGCGCGCAACACCGCGCGAGAGGGAGGGAGAGAGAGTGAGCGCGACACAAGGCTCTCTCGCACTCGCAATCAGTCTCGCCCGGCGCGGAGCGGAGCACTGTGGAGCACAGAATTTATGGTGTGTGATGGTATGGTTCCGCGGCCAGTGGAGGCCGTCAGTGATAGAGTGTGCTCGTGAGAGTCGTGAGTCGTGAGTGCCGCCGCTGCCGCTGCCGCCGTCGCCGTCGCCGTCAGATACACGCGTGTGTTTATACGTCATAAGTGAGAGACGGACAAACGACAGAGCAATCGTCGTTTTCACCGTTGCTGCTATCGCCGTCCCCGCCATCGTCATCGTCGCCGTCGCCGCCG